GAGTCCTAAAACTTTTAAAAAATTCAATCAAGTTCTAAAATTTATCGCAAAATATAACCAAGTCGTAAAACTTTCAAAAAGTGCAATCAATAGAATGACTTTATTAGACCAGTTTGACAATTTTAGGTTTTGATTGCACTTTTTGAAAGTTTTACGACTCAATTGCACTGTTGCAACAAGTTTTAGGACTTGATTGCTTTTTTGAAAGTTTTAAGAGTCAATTGTACTTTTGTGACAAGTTTACGACTTCCAATGCACTTATTATCCCCTTTTCTTTCCTTGTTTCTCTCCGTTGCTTGACGAGAGCACTCGTGCATATAAGAACGCATTCTTTTCTGTTTTCTGCACCTGTAAACGTATGGCCTGTCCAAGCCCGTAATGGCCGGCCCAATCCAACTACAAAAACCCAACACATCATGCGCACGTATCATTAGATCGCTACCCTTGTGTAAACAATCGCTTGAGCAGTCAACTTGTACCATAAAAGCTAATTAAGATTATAAAGTACCCTCAAACTATATTATCTCGATATCTGATAAGAGAATACCTCGAAGTATTATATTGTTGTATTACTTTTTCTTGGTTTAATGTTCGCTATCAGTCAAAGTTCGATCGAAATTTTAGAAAAATATTATTTAAAGAAAAGGTGACGTCGGCACTGCTGTCGTCGCCTACCGTCGACCAATTAGCAGCCACCACCTGCCCCTTTTAGTGCCGGGTCAGTTGGTTAGAGTGCCGATTTGATGAAGGCCTACGCTTGCTGTCAACATCTTAGTCACATGCTGAGCCGCACATGCCCAGCACATGAGCGGACCCGTGGGGCAACGTATTGATCCTACACGCTACTTCGCCGGCCGAGGCTGTTTCCAAGCCCGAAAATCGCAAGAGTGGGTTTTGAAGTCCGGATCGGCCTTCCTCCTCCCTTGTGCACGGTTTTGGAACCATTTCACATCATTTCCCCTTAATTGTATGCATCATTTCCCTTTCGAGGCTAGATTTGCCTATAAAAAGGCTTCAATTTTCTCATTTTTGTTCAGGGCAAGTTAGATTCCTCGCTTGTTTAGTTCTTTATAAAAAAAGGGTTAATACCAAGAAAAACCCCAAACTGATATATTTATGACAGATTTACCCCGAACTAATTTTTCAACCATAAAAAATCCTAAATTGATATATCCGTGACAAATTTACCATAAACTAATTTTTTTGCCACCAAAAATTCAAAATTAGTACACTTGTGATAAATTTACCCTCCATAAAATTGGATTAATACCACGAAAAATCACAAATTTGTAAATCTGTGACAAACAGAGAGGTAAAACCCCAAATTGATACATCCGTCAAATGTTACGTGTCATCCAACTTAGCAATTTGACGGTAAAATTTAACGAAAACTAACGGAAGGTAAATTTGTCACAGGTGTATTAGTTTAGGATTTTTTGTGGTCAAAAAATTAGTTTAAGGTAAATTTATCATAAGTGTACCAATTTGAAATTTTTTGTGGTATTAACCCTAAAAAAAATTATCATGAACTTACTACTAACATCTGTTTTCTTAATTACCGAGGGAATCTTGGTGGGCGAGGAAAATTGGAGAAGTGTGACGGATGCCAGGTGACAAGGTAGGGTCTAAATCACCTTTTTTTATAAAAAAAAAATAGTTGTTATAATGCTAGAATTAGCCTAGAAATTTGAATAGTATAGTCATTATGTTGTCAATTCAGAAAATTTTATTTCAATGGGAAATAAGCCGTCATTCTGCTGAAATATTATGTGCGTACCGAAGGGATCGGGCCGATGGGCTAGAGGGGTGGAGTCCTCGAGGGCCGTCATTCCGCGAATCGAGATCCCATGTATGTGCCTATAGTATACAAAACTCAATTATATCCATTTATTTAAAAATAAAATTCAACGATCTAATTTATTAATCCTCTAAAATTAAATAATATAACACAAAAAAATTGAAAAAAATAAAGAAGTGAACTAAACTTGAAAAAAAAATTGAAAAAATTGATTGACGCAACTTATTTGAAGCAGAATATGTTTTTACTTTTAAATTTTATGTTCTACTTTTTGAATGCGCTTCTGAATACATTTTTCATTATTCAATAAAGCCACTTTTTTTTTGGTCGAACAATAAAGCCACTTAATTTGTAACAATTCGAATAATTCTAATTATAAATCCATTTTTTGACATTAAAATATTTCAAAAGCATAAATAAGGATTAAGTTCTTGAGCTTTATTTTATTATGCTACCGCTTTTGTCTTTTATTATTACAACTCCCCGTGATTTTAAGCTTTAAATTAAAAAGAAAAACGCACGAGGGAGAGTTTCTGAAGTTTTGACTAATTTCATTGATACAATGAATACAGAATTTCATCAAAATCCGCTTAGTTTAATAACGACGTATTGAATAATGATGGAAACTTCTCATGTATATGTCTTAGTTTAGCAATTATAGTATACCAAGGTAAAAAATAAATGACATTTTGTCTTCTATATATTTCAATGGAGACAATTTGTACATACGCTAAGCGGCCTTGCTCTTTCAATGTTAGGATAATGATACAAATAATTCATGAAATCTAGCTCAATATGCAATGTAATCCCCAAAACTTCTAATTTGTTCAAGTCTTTATATTTTATGTATATATTCAATTTAGTCCCTGAACTATATTAAAATATTTGATATTGTCCTTCCATTAATTCAAGTTCAAGGATAATATCGAATATTTTCATATAATCCTGAAAATAGATTGAACATGTACCAAATGTAGTGACCGGGTCCAACAAGGGCGAGGAGTGATCGCCGAGGCATGAGGGCCTAAACAAGGAGCGACTATTGGCAAGCTTCTAGGATGGCAAATGAAGCAAGAATGAATCGAACTATGCACCAAATAAAGAAAGAATGATTCCGGGATATATATGTGAAAATTGGAATTAATTTACAAATGCACCTTTTGACGTAATGGTAATGCTTAGTTTTGGAACTCCAAAATTAAGAATGCTCGGGTAGGAGCACTATCAATATGTGTGACCTCCTAGGAAAGTGCTCGCCTTTAGACCTAAAGACAAAACGATGAGGCTCGGTATGGAATAGGTTAAAGCGGAAAATATATCAATGAGTTAACCTAAGGATGTCACAATATGGTATCAGAGAGAAACCCCTTCCAATAGGTGTGTGGTTTAGGGACGAACCACGCGGAAGTTGGTGGGCCTGTGATCTCTAGGGCATGAGGGCCTGCACAAGGAGTGGCTCATAACGGGCTTCTAGGTTAGCAAAGGGGGCGGGAGTAAACCGAACTATGAACCAAACAAGGAGAGAGTGATTCTGAGATATATATGTGAAAACTTGAATTAACTTATAGATGTGCCTTTTGACGTAACGACAATCCTTAGTTTTGGAAGTCCAAAGTTAAGCGTGCTCGGGTAGGAGCACTACCAAGATGGATAGCCTCCTGGGAAAGTGTCCACCTATATGACAAAGAACAAAACCGTGAGGCTCAATATAGAACGGACTAAAGCGGACAATACTTTGGTGAGTTAATCCAAGGATGTCACGCCAAAGTTCAAGGACCGCATTCAAGGATGACATTATATATTAGGCTAAAGTTCATGAACCATATGGAAACAAATTGAAAAATTTAAGGACCACATTAAATATTTGGCCAAATTTCAGGAACCATTTATGTCATTTTTATTTTATTGTTTGGTGATACATACATGGCCTTAGCATATGCGTTTTGTGTGCTTTTAAATTTTCTTAATTGGATTTATATTCTTCGTGAAGATTTTTAACATAACTCAATTGATTTGAATTTCTTATTTTAATACTATCTACTGTTAACAGGGCGTAATTTTCTGTATGTGGTATGCAATGTTCGGAGTCTTCTATATTTTTATCAATGAATAACAGCAAATTGATCACGAAAACTATATAAGAAAATTGATAGCCGAATATACTAGATTTAACCCCCAAAAAACAAATACGATATTGAAAAGCCAAGTAGTACATCAGTTTTACGAAGTAGTAAAATTAAGTCGTATCAATTCGTAACTCAACACAAATGTGACATTCAATTGGAACATTCAAACTCGACTTTATATTAAAAAAAATTACAAAAAAACAAGCGGTCAAAAAGATTGAACCACGTTCGCATGATTTGATAAAAGAAAAATGGAAAATGACATAAATGGTCCATGAACTTTGGCTCAATGTATAATGTGGTCTCTTAACTTTTGGTACATAGTCAATTTATTCACTGAGTTATATGAAAATGTTCAATGTAGTCATTTCATTAATTCAATATCAGAGACTATATTAAACATTTTCATATAGTTCAACACATTGCATATTGGGTTAAAGTTTAAAAACTGTACTGAAAAAATTAAAAATTCAGGATTCATATTGCATATTGAATGAAATAAAAATAAAAAATGGACTCGAGCCTGATGCTACTGCGAGATTCCTCTGCTGTCTGCGAAGAGCCGAACAGCGACACCGCCTCCCGTCCTACGTACGGGTACACGTATGCGAGGTTGAAGCGACAGAGACACATACATTGGCGATCCATTTAATTACTCGCAATGCCGATTAATTTAGTTCAACGTCCTTGTTGCTCCCCAGCTGGGACTTTGGATTCTTGCGGAAATTTCGTCTCCACCTCACGTGGCCAATCACCTCCTCGCCAAAAAAAAACAAGAACGCCTTCCCTCCTTCCCTCCCTCCCCGTGGACATTCCAATGCTTTCCCCCTCTTTCTTTATTCCCTTTCCTCGCGCTTTCCTCCCCTCTCTCGCCCCACTTGTTCCTCTATAAGACCACCCTTTTGCTTCCGTCTTCAATTCCTTCCTTTCTCCTCCATCCTCAGCCCCTCTTAGATCTGATCTCTCCGTCTGCCTTTCTCTGTCTCTCTGCTGAGGTTCTGCTGGTTTGACCTCAACAGGGGTCCCTTGCTCTGCTTTCCTCTGTTTCTCTCTAGGCAAAACGCCGTCTTGTTTGATTCTTTGCAGCTGAAACTTTGGTCTTTCGGGATCTTTGCACAAAATTTGTTTTTGCCCAATCGCTTGAAAAGTTTTGTTATTCGCGAAAAAGATCTGGTCTTTGTTCAGATCTGTGGCTGTTTTCGATCCCCTGTTGGAGAAATCTTTGCCCACTTCCGTTCAGGTTTGATGCGTATCTTGTGTACTTGATGTTTTTTATTCATGTCTCCGGTTCTCAGTGAAATCCTCCTTTCCGGGTTGATGATCGGTTCTTCAATCAGACGCAGGACCCACTTAGTTCAATCATTCTCTGTTCGATTCCTCTACTGGTTCTATGTTTTCTCATGAATAGTTTCCTTCGTTTCCAGCCTATATTACGCGACTAAGATCGATATTGATATACATATACATAAGCCCAAGAAATTATTATCATCTGGGTCCTGCGTCTCACAATATCTATAAATCAAAATCCAAAAGAACAAAAAAGAAAAGAAGAATTCGATCCCCTCTTCTCGGTCGAAGAAAGATTATTTGATGGCTTCGTCGAGCGGGAATTCCTCGAGCACCGTCCAGCTTCAGAACTCGGGGTCGGAGGGCGAGCCACGGCAGCTCCGGATGGACCAGAGGAAGAGGAAGAGGATGGAGTCGAACCGCGAGTCGGCGAGGCGGTCGCGGATGCGGAAGCAGAAGCACCTGGACGACCTCACGTCCCAAGTGACCCGGCTGGCGAAGGAGAACAACCAGATCCTGACGGGCATCACCGTCGCCACGCAGCACCTGGTCAACGTCGAGTCGGAGAACTCCGTCCTGCAGGCTCAGGTGACGGAGCTGAGCCACAGGCTCGATTCGCTGAACGAGATCCTAAACTCCATCTATCAGTCCAGCGGGGTCGCCGACGCCGACCAGGGCCTCGATCTGGGCTCTCCCTACGACGGCTTCTTCATGAGCCCGATGAACTTGGGTTGCGTGAGCCACCCGATCACGGCAGCTTCGGACGTGTTCGAGTGCCGATGATTCGGTTGGTCTATACGGGTGGTGGTCGACGACTTCCTTGAAGTTGGTCACAAACGGGTGGCTGAGGGGAAGCCAAGATTAGGGTACCTTTTGGTTATTTTGTTAAATAATAGAGTTGATTAGGTAAAAAGGGCGAGGTGGGTTTCTTAAATGTGACTGTCTGATAAATGTCAATGTCAATGTCGATGTTAATGTCAATGTTGTCTAGGCAATTGGTGGGGGGGTTTTGATCCTTTATTGGTGTTCCGTCGGTTCGTGTCATGTGAATGGGTTGATTCGCATAGTGACATTGTGACATTGTGTGAAGGTTTTGGAGGTGTTTGAGGTCGATATGGACATATGAATATGTATTGTGCACTTTTGTTGTTATTGATGTTGATGTCATGGCTCGAGTTTTGGTTGGTGGTTCAGAAAGAAAGACGCTTGAAATCCGGGCCTAAGCCGCCCTCTTGGGACTAATTTAATGGGGGCAAATCTGATTTGCATCATCATCAAATGTTGTGCTATATAGTCGAATGCAAGTTGCTTGATTGAAAAATGTTATGTTATGATGGAGATTCTTCGTTTTGGCTGGGTGCATTGCAATGGAGATTGCACTACGCTACACCACTTCTATAATGACAACGGAGAAGACGAGATAATGTTAGGTTTCTTGGTCAGTATGATTGACCCGTTCAATGTTTTTACTTTTACACTCGGTCCTCTTACATTCAAACAATCCTAATGCATCAACGACTGTAAATCAGAGAAATAGAGAAAAAATCACAAAGAAATAAAATGTGTACTTAGCAAAAGTCTAAAAACAAGCAAAATTCATCCTAAGCTTCCACTGGGCAGTGGGCACTCCTAAGTATCTTTGGACCCCGATCACTCCTACCTTCGATTCTAAAGAAACAAGAGATTAATTTGAGTGATTATGTGACATTATGGATTAACTCACTTGAAGTATTGTCTATTTTTATCCGTCCCATACCGAGCCTCATGGTTTTGTCCTCTGGCGTACATGTAAGCACTTTCCCGAGAGGTTACCCATCTTGGTAGTACACCCCAATACTAAACTTGATGTTATGTCAAAAAATGCCTCTTGTAAGTTAATTATAGTTTCACATATATATTCTAGGAACAATCTTTCCCTGTTTAGTGTGTAATTCAATTCATTTCAGCCTTATTCGCCATCCTAGAAACCTGTTAGGAGCCACTTCTTGTACAGGCCCTTTGCTCTGATAATCACTTCTCACCCTTCACGGACCGGGCCATTATAGGTTCATTTGCTCTTTGTAATGTTGTATGTGAATAGCATGATCATACATAAGTACGAATTTAGAATCCACTATGTTTAATTGAGCAATCAAATTATATGTATATGCCGCATGATAGACCTTAAATCTACACTTGGCAAAACTATTCTTTTTTTGGTTTTCTCTCTATTAATTTTGATCTTGAGAATGCATTCAACTCGTCAAAGCTAGTACCTTAGACCCATATTGCATCCCGAATCCAACAGTCAATTTTGACTCTTAGGGACCAATGGCTTATTTTCACAATGTCTAGAAGTTTGCGATGTCCCAATTTCAATTGCACGTGCCAAAACAAAGGATCGCAAGCATCCTAATGCAACAAAAATCAGGTTGAACGGAGGTTGAACAAGGGAGTATTTGCCGGTCAAATTTCAGTCAAATCTTCTAATACTCGAAAGTAAGGTCCTACTCTTAGAGCCCGAAATCGAACCTGGAGGTTTTGAAATCAAACAAAACTTTCCAGACCTCTAAGTTATGGTAAATGATGATTTTCACAAATAATAAATCACGGAAGCGCCATCTGATTCTTGGATTATAATTAGGCCCCGATTCAAGTAGAAATCTCAGTTTTGTGATTTAGCAATTTCATCTAGTAGTATTGCACTCGTCGGAAACTTCTAAAAGCATTCCGACGGTGCAAAAATCATAGAATCAGACGTAGGACGGACCGGATATAGACCCCGAAAGGGAGAATCTTGACCGGAGGCGCACGCACCTCTTCCTAAAGCGGCCAAATACAGCTATAGAATACCCATCCCTTTCTTCATTTTCACGTGGTGCTAAGTCTTCTCCTTTCCCTTTTGCTCTTGAAATTCTCTCAACTTGGGTTCAATTATCACATCATCTCTCTTACTTTCACGCGTTTTCCCGACCGAGTAGGTATGGGGACGTTCGCACTTTCGAGGTAAGTCCCGATTCCCTTGCTCTCAAATTCATATAGAAATGCATGCTAGGATGCCATAATGTCTAATACAATCATAGAATTGTAGAATATATCGTTATGCCGCCCATTAGTCGAAAAACGCATGTGCTTGCGCAGTTGTTATCCAAGATAAGAAATTAAAGGCTTGGGTTGTTATGCCGCCTGTTTGAATAGTCAAAAAAATGTTATTAGGCCGTTGTAATGTCGAAATAAGATATGAGTTATATGATACTTAGTTGTGCTACCGAAATATCACTAGAAAGTATACATGTTAGTAAGCCGTCATAATAACTGTGTAGTTCTGAAATTAGATCATTAAGATGCCAGTTACGATGAAAGTACGATAGAATAAATGAAGTTGTTACTTATCTATAAATTGTACAACTTGAAAGGAGGTGGTGGATGTATAGGAAAATTGTCCAAAAAGTCCAAATCTATTACACTTTTATCAATTCAGTCTTGAACCTTTTAATTTTGCTAATTAAGTCTTAAACATTTTTACTTCTTGTCAATTGAGTCAATTCGTCTAATTTTTACTTCCTAAACATTTTGTTTTAAACGATTAAGAAAATCGCTGACATGGAAGCCGGCTAGCCTACGTGTTGCTGACATGGACAATTTTTAATAATATTTTATATTTTTCAATTTTATATTTTATTTTCTATTATTTTTCCTTTTTCTTTTTCTTTTTTTCTTTTTTCTTTTTTTCCTCCCCTCCTTCCTCCTCCAGTCGGTCATCAAGCACCGGCAACTAGCTAGAGTCAGCCTCGCCGGCCTCAAGCAAGCCTTACCCCTGTCAAAAACTCGCCCACACCATCACTGGGCGAGGCCAAGCCTTGACGTTGCTTGTGAGGGCGAGTCTCGCCATGGCTAGGCGAGGCTCGACCTCGCTAGATCTAGCGAGGACGACCTCGCTAGATCTAGTGAGGACAACCTCGCAAGGGGCCGGCAAGACTCGCCCTCACCAGTGGCCTGCGGGGGTGAGCCTCGCCAACCCTCCCCCCTCTAGGCGATTGCCAATGTTTGGCAATCGGTTGGAGGAGGAAGAAGAGGAGGAAAAAAAAGACAAAAAAAGGAAAAAAGGAACAAGAATGGAAAATAAAAAAAGTAAAAATAAAAAATATTAAAATTATCCACGTCGGCACTTTACGATCAAAATTGGCTAGATTGACTCAATTGGTAAGAAGTGAAAAGATTTATGACTCAATTGACAAAATTGAAATGTTTATAACTGAATGAGCAAAAGTGCAATAAATTTAGAACTTTTTGAACAATTTTCCCTAGATGTATCAAAGTACTACATCAGAATACCCCTCATCCGTAAGTCAATTCACAAGCCATATAACAAAGGGATTGGGTTCGAGACTAGGATAGACTATGGCAATTTGGTTAGAAGTCAAAAGTCAATAGCCATCACGATTCGAACCCATGCACTAAAATCCCGTGCATGCGTCATTAAGATTCAAAGAATGATGATTTTGCTTTAATCTGACCAAAAGGAAAGAGTTTATTTCTACATAAACCTCACATTGTCCCAATATGAGAAGTTGAGCTACTCAATTGAGCAAAAATAAAGGAATTACTTGATTGAAGCATAGACAAGAATTCAAGTATTTGAGGCATCATTTTCCCAGAAAAATCAAGATTTTCTTAGTATGACTATGATTTTATTTATGACCTGTAATCGCATACTGGTTGGAGGATGCTCCCTCCTACTATGGTTAAAGAAAATATAGCCTTTTACTTTTTTTCTTTTCACTTAGACGAATGAAAATTCTCAAAAAATTTGGACATTGATTTGTATAATCATTTATAACTTTTTCATAATTCCTTACTTGAATTTGTTCAAGGCAAGCCTGTTTGATAATCGCATTAAGAGTTGAAAATTAAAATAATCGGCACTAGATAAAATTGAACTCATTTGGAGATGCTATCTGGTTTTGAGTCAAAAAATTTAATTTAAGTCGCAAATTTACTTAACAAGCTAAGTAGAAAGGATGGGTCACTTGTTGGACAAAAAAGGAAGGCTCGCTTAACTCATTTAATAGAAACATATCTTTTGAAAATTAGAATATTGTCCATTATGGCATTATGTATATGAAACATACCAACATTGCCTAATTACCTATTACCAATAATATATTGGTATTGCATTTTTAATTATTATCAAAACCTTATTTCTTTCTATTTTTAGCACTTGAAATTGTCAGTTCTTAAAATTCGGTACTTAAATTGTCACTACTTATAATTCAATTTCGATTTTTTTTGTGTAACCCAGACCCCCAAACTTGTATTTTGTTTGTTGCATTGATACAAGTTTGGAGTATTGGTGACACAAAAAAAGTTTAGATATTCATGTCATGGTACGTAAATTTTTTATAGTAAGAGAGGATATTTTTGTCGCATTATACAAGGTTGGACAGTTTCGGTGATTAAAAAAAGTTTGAAGTACTGATATTATAGTAAATATAGTTTAAGATTTTTGGTGGTATTTTTTATATAATAAGTTTGCTTTTGTGTGTGTGTGTGTGTTGGCCGTTATTCTCATGAGCTGCGCATTTATTTAGTGCCAAATATCCTAAAAAAAATATTAAAAATCGTCACGGCATAGTTTTCTATTAATCAAGTGGGTTAATATCACGAAACCCCAAACTGGTACACATGTGATAATTTTACCTCGAACAAATTTTTTTACCACTAAAAATCCAAAACTGGTACACTTGTGATAAATTTACCTCGAACTATTTTTTTGACCATAAAAAACCCCAAACTGGTACATTCGTGACAATTTTACCCCGAACTAATTTTTTGACCACCAAAAACCCCAAACCGATACTCTTGTGACAAATTTAGCCAAAACTAATTTTTTTACCACCAAAAACCCCAAACCAGTACACTTGTGACAAATTTACCATCCATTAAATTTGATTAATATCACGAAAAATCACAAATTGATAAACTTGTGACAAACAGAGGGATAAAACCCCAAATTAGTACACCCGTCAACTATCACTTGTCATCAAACTTAGCAATTTGACAGTAAATTTAAATGGAAACTAACGGAAAGTAAATTTGTCACAGGTGTACCAATTTGGGATTTTTGGTTATCAAAAAATTAGTTCGGGGTAAAATTTAGTTCGGGATAAAATTATCACATATGTACCAGTTTAAGGTTTTTTGTGGTCAAAAAAATAGTTTGGGATAAATTTGTCACAGGTGTATCAGTTTAGGGTTTTTAGTGATATTAACCCTAATCAAATTTTAGCAAATTGGGTTTGCACCTGCTGAAAAGTCCTAATGTTGTCATCACTTTGCCCATGACAACCTCTCGACCGACTCTGTCGCCAAGCCGCCTTTGCCTCTGGGCTCCCCTCTCTCCTACGACTAGGCCCTCACGACGGACAATGACGGTGAACAACCATCTATCGTCATCGTTCACCTCGCCATCCCTCAATCTCTCTATATCATAGGCGAGCTCGATGTTGTCAACATCGAGCTCTTCGCCCGTGGTAGAGCTTCGCCTCGTTTCCCGACTTCACGGCTTTGAAAGACCATAGTGACGACTAGAGGCACTGTCCGGAATGGGGTGGTGGTTCGCCGATGAACGGAGGTGAAGGATGGTGGCGGCAACGTCTACATCTTTGGTTGAGGGGCTGAAGAGAGAGAGAGAGAGAGAGAGAGAGAGAGAGAGAGAGAGAGAGAGAGAGAGAGAGAGAGGTGCTTGGACATGTTTGAGAATGTAACTTGCAATTGTGAACAATACTTTAAGCTTTAACCTCTTGTCAACTTGCTAAGCTGGATTTATTGCCGGCATGTGAATGCTAGGGGTGTAAACAGTTGGGTTGGGTTGGGTTTTCTTGAAAAACCGAACCGAACCAAACCATTAAATGTGCCCTCCTGAACTGAATCAAAACTCACTCGAACCGAAAAATTGATTTGGTTCGGTTTGGTTCGGATCAGTTTTCGATTTGATGAAGTCGGCGATGACATAAACATTGCCGCGTCAAAGGGCTACCAAACCTCATCACACTACGGAATTCTCCGAACACGACGGAGAACCGCGTCAAGCTAAAATAATCCAAATGCAAAAATCCACAAAACAGGTGACGAGAACAAAAAAGATCGAGACTTTTCCACAATTCGTACGCAAAAACAGCACACCCATAAGAGGGAAAACAATCAACAAGAAAATCGAGAAGCAAAGAGAGAGAGAGAGAGGGAGAGAGGTGACCCGTAGGAGTCGAATCTTAGACAAATTGTTGTAGGCTTCTTGCTTTGAGCGACGTAGGAGTCGGTGCTGAGAGAGAAAGCCCTAAAAGTTTTGAGTCGTTGCCTCAGGCAAGAGCCCTGCGATGAGCGAGGGCAAGAAGGAGGGGGCCGGCGACCGCGAGAAGGAGAAGGAGAAGGCGGAGGCGAAGGAAGAGCCGGAGCGCGATGATTCGCTGAGGCCGGGGACGCAGAGGAGGTGCAACGCTTGTGCGAGGGTGAGATAGAGCTTTTACTTTTTAGGGCTAAAACCAAAGTGTTTATTTAAGTTCATTTCGGTTTGATCCGAACCGAACTGAAAAAAAAAATTGGTTAATTTTGATTATCTGAACCGAAATCGAAACTGAATCGAAATGCACGAAATTTTCGGTTCGGGTCGATTTGGATCGTATTTCGGTTCGGTTATGACACCCCTAGTGATGCCACTTCAGACGACTAAGAGTGACTTTAGACCGAGGTTAACAAAGGACACATTTGGGATTTAGGTAAAAGTTTGTGATTTGTTTTTAAGCAAAGGGATATCCACACTAAAAGTCTTAAAACTTGTTACGAAAGTCCAACTAATTCCTAAAACTTGCAAAAAGCGCAATCAAGTCTTAAAACTTGTCAAATTTGTGCAATCGAATTCTTCTGTTAACTCCGTCAAATTTGGTTGACGAAAAACGCCGATGTGATTTTTTTTATTTTTAATCTATAATACGTGGGGATGACGTGGCTAAACGATATCGTTTTGGTCAAAATCTAATTTTTAATACAAATTTAATTCAAATTAAATTAAAAATATACTAAAATTAAAAAGAGAGAGAGAGTTGGAACATGAGGGCTTTGCAGCCTTCGTCGGGAAGGGCCGGCGGCCCTCGCAGGCAAGGGCTTGTGGGCACTTCCTGGTGAAGGTGGGGCGGCGGCGGTTACGAGGGTTGCAAATCCAACTTTCCCTTTTTTTAAATTTTAGTTTTCTCTTTATTTTTTAAATTTTAATTTAAATAAAATTTGCATCGAAAATCATATTTGGACCAAAATGACTTCGTTTTAACCTTATATTTCATGTTTTAGCCACGCCATCGCCATTTAAGAGAGAGAAAATATTAAAAAAAATATCACGTCAGCATTTTTCATTAATTAAGTTGGACGGAGTTAACGGAAAAATTGGATTACATTTTCATGACAGATTTTAGAGAACTTCCGGTACACATATACCTTAAAGAGAAAAGAGTTTGAGGTAAAATTGGAATTGTGTCTAAAGTTGAGAGTCGTTTTTAAGGAATCGGGCCGAACCCCCATGCTCCGTGGAGGAGACAATCGAAGACGGGACGGAGGAGGAAGGAAGGAAAAAGGAGAAGAAAGAGGTAACAACAGAACAAGAAAAGGAAGACAAAAGAGAAGAAGATCAATTCAAAGGACGATTTCTAAAAACCGATGTGCCATTCCGAGAGCAATTGCACCCACTTGACACTCTCTCGAACGGATCCCAACACGAAATTACGAGTCGGCAAAAGTGCGTGCCGTCAGATCATTAAGGTCCCCGGGTCAACGGTCAACCGTCGTCCTCCTGTTTAAGGGGGGGTGTACGACTTCGCGTGGGGCTCGGCTTCTTCAACAGAAGGACGAGCTCAGCCGTCGAACTGGGCCAAGGGCGGGGCGTGGCCCATCCGTGGGCGCCACTTTGTGGCCGAAAAGTCATGAGTGAGGAGTGCCACCATTCCCCATACACACACACACTCTCTCTCTCTCTCTCTCTCTCTCTCTCTCTCTCTCTTTTATATATTTTTTTAATTGTTAAAACAACTTTTGAGGTAAAGGAACGACTTCCTTGCTAAGATTTGACTGCATTGTCAACCCGAAATAATAAATGCTTCTTTCTAACTTGCTCACACGAGTATTATTCATAATCTTAGCAAAGTTTATGATACCAAAATTATTCGCTCGTCAATTTAACTTGTATAAAAAAGTGTACGGATCATGAGGCCTTCACACTTTATAATATTACGTGCGAGTGATCAATTCCTTAATTATACGTCCATGAAATGATATCGATTGCTCAGAAAATAGAGAAATCCCTTTAAAAAGTTCCTAATGATATTGGTTACTTAGAGATTAGAGAAATCCCAAATTTTATTTTATGTAAGAGAAGTCCTTTTGAAATGATACTAATTAATAAAAGATTAAATTGGAAAAATGACCAAAAAAAAGGTTACTAAATATACTCCTCGCACATGTTATCAGCCTGTTGACATCCACTTTCGTGAAATGAAGAAAAGAAATATCCCGGTACCTATTCTCAATCCGAGAAAATGACTACGAGAGGAGGAATTTGAGAAAAGTAAAAGGCCCCTAAAAATTAAAATAAATAAAAAAAGAAGGAAAAAAAAGCGAGAACCAAACACTTTTTTCAGCTTTTCTTCTCTGCCGTACAGCGGGCCTCCCCACTCCCTTAACGCCGTCATAACGGTACCGCTCCCTCCTCTGCCGCGAGCGCAAACGGCCCACCCCCACTCACCACTCACGCCGTTATAAGCGAAGCTCCGCTTTCTCTCTCCTTCTCTCTCCTTCTCTGTCTGTGCTCTCTCCCTCTCTTCCGTTGCAGAGGAACTGGAGCTCCCCCTTCTCTCTCCCGTTGAAGCCCTAGCCAAATGGTTCGTGCTCGCCTCTTGATCTTTCCATTCGCCCGCGAGAGCATCGCGTTCTCCATCGGAGGACGACCACCCTCGCGCAGACCTTGAGATTCCGAGAATCCGGTGGCCTGGTCTCTTTTGTCGTTTTTTTGGGCATGGTTTTCCGTAGTCGTTTGCATCCTGCTTGATTCCCGTGTACTTCCGGCATGTGGTGGTGTGTCGACGTCGCATTCCGTGCGGGCCGATTGGATTCCGCTCCCGCCGCTCATTTTTGGGTGTGGGTGAAACCGCGCACTTCGTTAAGGGGGTTTCGATCTTCTGGGTCTCTCTCTGTGCTGAGATTTGATTTGCTTTTGTGTTTTGATTGAAAGTAGGGTTTTGGTGCTTCTGTTCTTTTTTGTTTGGCTGTGTTTCATGGATGGTGTTGCTATCTTCTGGCGTTGATGCTTGAGCAAGTTGCTTGAGCCCCTCTGGATTATCGAGCTTATTGGGAGAAGGGAAGAATAGAATATATGCTTTGGCTCGGTGTTTCTTCTTTATCTGTTTGTTTGCAGTTGATCATTTGATGTCTTGTGAAGCCCCTTTCTATTTTGGAATATTGAAACAAGGTGGGATGCTTTTAGGATTATGATGCGCATTATTGGGATCCCATCTTTAAGATTTTACGAAAGCTTAGCAGGTTTTGTTGGAAGTAATTGAATGAAGTCTTCCCTTCTAGAACTTTTGTAAGGGATAAAGAGTGCATTTTCGTGTTTTTTGATTGTATATTACGAGGTCATCCTACCGGTCTTTGAACATGACCCATTTCTGTTTTTACATCAATTGTAGTGAAAGGGCGATATATTCTTTCTTTGGAAGAGCTTGCTTTCCCGAATTCCATCGCATATTTCACATGTCGGTTAGAGCCACACTATATACTTAGCATTTCCATCCATGAATTATGTGAAACTGATGCTAACACGTAATAATCTTTTTCTGCAAGTTTTAATCTGGTAGTACCGGCCTGCTAGGCATCCTCCCTTTCATGCATCTATATCAATGATTACCGTGTTATCGAAACAAGCTTGGAGCATACATATATCTCTTCCATTTTTAACAGTTTGGATTTTCTTGTTCATTAGTCATGATTTTGTTTTGCTCGATAGCTTGTGACTGTGTTTGATTCATTTGAATCTTTATCGTCTCATACTCTTCCATACACTCTAAATTGACACTTTATTCCAAGGATAGTTTTAATCGTATGGTATTTATTTTGTTGCATAAGTCTTATGGTTGCTTCCATTTTATGCAGGATGAAATTGCATGAAAACTGTGAGCAGAATTACATTGCTTTGAGGTACTTTCCCTTGGTCTTCTGGGTAGTATCTCTAAACTTTGGCTGAATAATCTTGATGCTCATCTTAGATTTGGATGACATCATTGTTTAACAGCGCTAGATTGCTTCTAGACTCGATGCACTTTTAAAAGTAGAGAATGATGGTCAGACAAAATACTTGCATGTGAAAGAATCATGGGATCAGCTTGCTGTGTTGCTTCCAGAGAACAAACTGTTCCCTGCCGAGCAGCCAATGAGACTTTGCACAGGAATATCATATATTCGCCGTCGTGGAGCTTCCGTTGGGAAAATAGAAGACGTGTGGCTGGTGAAATTGACAATCCACCATATGAGCTCAATCATGGAAATAGCGACTGTGCTCCCACTGAGATTAAGGAACCAATCAGTTCAAGACGAGGCCACATATCAGATGGAAGAAGTCCGTTGGGAATCATGGGTGCTCCTATCTCTCAACAGTCCCCAGCTCATGATGTAGTAGGAGCTGATTCAGCAACATCAATATCTGGTAAGTATGACATTCTGTTAATTGTGTCATCTTTGGAGGAACATTTCACAGGGCATTACTTAACAAGGTCTGTATTAGGGTCCATTTGGGAAACTTTAAAGTAACTAGTTCCCCTGGAGAAGTTGTTATACAGGAAAGTTATAATCTTAGAAGCTGGGAAGGCTTGGGCTAATGTTCACATGATTAATCTACACGATAATGTTGCCTACTATTAGTCTTTGTTCAATTGTTGTCTTCTAAATTATATTGATCCAACAAAAGAAAGCTCATATAACAGGTTAAGAGATTTCTTGCACTCAAGCCGTTGGTGCAGTGTGTTTCTTCTTAGTTATTCCAAAATGTCTCTTCTCTTGTCCTAAGAGTGTTTATTGGAAGTTAAGTTCCCATTTGATGATAATTCTGATTGCACTCGGTGGTGGAAATCATAAACACATGTTGCCGATTATTGCAGAGAGCTAGTACAACCAGTGAAACATGTTAGGTGGCAAGTTCCTCCTGTTTGTGCATGCCATTACAAACCAATAACTAAACATGTTGATCTACCATCTTGTTGATAGGTTATAGCTATTTGGGACTCCTCAGAATGAGATGAATGGGAGCCTTGTTAGTTACTGTTGTTTTTTGGCCTCAACCAGCTTGTTTTTTGCTCAAAACGTCCTTCTCTTAAGACTTGTTGTGCTAAATCTGATGATCTTCTTGTTCAATGTAGATATATCCCAGGCAAACAATGACTCTGCAGAGGTTAGTTTGAATTGATTGAGGCTGATTCTGCGGGAAGAGTTTAGGATGATGTTCTCATTAAAATTGCTAATTTTTCAGCTGAAGAATGCTGCAGAATCCCCTGAATCAGTCACACCGAAGATCTCATTTTCCACAACCATACCTCCATCCTTTTCAATGCCAATAGCAGATCCATTGTCTTCCCATACTCCTGCTATTCCTCCAAATTCTACCCCCTCAAGACGGGCTGTAGGACACCAGTTGTTGAGACAAATTTCTGATAGTCGGATTTTGGGAATGAAATCACCATGTAGGAACTCGGTATCTGAAGGAAGACCATCATTCGTTCTGTCCCCTTGTAGCAATGAGTTCACTGCAGGATCCCAAAGTGGCTTTTCTGATGGCTGGTCTATGCGCACATTTTCTGAGCTTGTGGCCTCTTCTCAGAAAGAGAGGTGGTCTTTTGACAGTGAGCAGTTCAGCTCTGGTTGTGGCAAGATTAGTGGATGTAGCAGCAGGTTCTCATCTTCACCGTCCATCGATTTGCAAACATGTGGCGCGTGTACTAAGCTCCTGACAGAGAGATCATCATTTAGAATTACCAGCAATGAGGTTGCAGTGGTTGCAGTTCTGGTCTGTGGGCATGTTTACCATGCGGAGTGCCTAGATATCATGACTCAAGAGACAGATCGCTACGACCCGAACTGCCCAATTTGTACAATGGGAGAGAAGCAAGTATTGAAGATGTCCAAGAAAGCTGAGTTAAAGTCGAGGAGCTATAAGATATTCAAGAAACGGGTTGGGGATGGTGACTCAAAGATTTTTGATAAAGGGAAATTGATGGCACAAGAAAGAAAAATTCCCAGGTTAGAAATGAGTTCCAGTTCAGGGAGCTCTTTTACAAAGCCCTTCTTAAGAAGGCACTTCTCTTTAGGATCCAAGTGGGGCAGGTCCTTATCAGAGAATGATTCTGCGAGGAAGAGGGGCTTTTGGTCGAGATATCGCAGAGATTGAACAGTTCTAAGAGGTTAGTAGTCAAAGCACATTGCAAGATTACAGATATTTTAGTTTGATTTTATCAAGCTTTTGCGCAGTTTAAGTCTTATTATGCATATGTAATTTGAGGACTCACTTAATATGTCTCTATGACAGTCAATATCTTTAAGAAGTATACTGGGAGCGATCGCTCGGTTGGGCTTCGAGCACTTCTTGGAGTCTGATATATGGAACTAAAGAACAGCATTTTAAATGCCGGCACTACCTACGCCATCAATATCAGGAGTGGTACATGGGATGTGATGGCGTTGATCTGAAGTTACAGCAGTACGGGGTCCTGTTTTGCCCATTCATATGCCGAATTTCCATTGAAGTCAGTTTCACCTTAGGCAGCATGGGACTTGATTTTGTGCCCGCTAATGGAGAGGATTACCTCATTAGGTTACTGATCGTATAATGTGAATCCTACTCTGGATTCGGGAGCAATGCAACTCACCTTAGTTTATCTATTGATGGCTGCTTATATATTGATCAGGCGGCTGTTATGACATGCTATTGATGGCTATATCTTTAAAATAGTGCTGTACCTTGTAACTCTAATACAGATCAACTTAAGGTATGTCATTGACATTCCACTTGGTAAAGGGGTTGATCGCTTGAATTTGTCATGATTAGTAAGAATTTCCCGCGCGCATCTGAGGCTACTTCGATTGGAAAACCAACTGATACAAGAAATCAAAGGCTGACATCATTGGGATTGATTGGTTTTCTCAATTTTATAGGAAGAAAATGCAGAATCCATATTTACCAACATATAACTCGAATGACCGTTCAATGCAACAAATTGAATATGAAATATTAAAAGAAATTGTCAAGAAGGTTGTCTAAGAAAGACCCAAACATAAAAGCTATTCTAAGTTATCTAATGACCAAGTTAGCTTCAAGTATCATCATATTCAAACTCAAGACTGGACTTTCGATTGTCTCCATGGGTTGAAGCATGTGTGGCTTGTCAATCAGCATTTCCATTAGCATAATCTCCAAACCCAATTGAGATTGTCCTCAACTGAATCAAGGAATTCATCTCCGATCATTCTGCTGTTATCTTTGGCGAAGGGATCGTCGCCTATGTAAGAAGGTATCTAGCAAGAGTCTTGACAGCAACCCACCGATATTTGTCCCACATATCTTGCACATAAAACACTTTGTTGAACCTGAGAGACCAACACACATGGATCATCACTCAAGTTCCAACCGTAGCACGTGAGATCACCCATAATTGGGTGTTGGTCCATCGCACTGCGCAGCTTGAAATCTTTGACTTGATGATGATAAGTCCACTATTTTAGCCGGTCTACTCTTCTCGTGATCTCTTGTTTGAAATCGGATGCCATCTACGGCATACCCCTTGAATCGTCTCCCCCACAGTATCTGGTCCTTGAGCTAGCCGTCTAATTTCATCAATTTGTGTTTTCGTTGCTCTCCAAAGAAGCAACCTACATATATAGATAATGTTGAAAGACTAAAGTTTCTTCACATACTCAATTTCATCGAGATACAAAAGCAAAACAAAAAAAAAAAAAGAAAAAGAAAAAGAGAAAGATTACGTGTACACGAGATATAAATCAAGTTTGGAAACCTCCATTTCATCTGTCCAACTCTCTTCTAGATAGCTGATGAGGACGATTTTTTCTCTTGATCTCAGATTCAAAGTCAGTGTGCACAGTCAAAGACAGGCGTCAAATAACAAACAAAAATATTGAAATAGCCTTTTCAAGACTATCCTACTATCAAGATTTCTATCGGATTGACTACTCCCTATTGAATAAGGGTTATTGAAGTATCTCGAACAAAATGCGACACTTTCTTCCGTAAGATACCCTTCTGCAATGGAACCTTTGGGATGTCCTCTAGTTCGAACATAAGATTTTGACATATAGAAGGACCGATGGACACACGATATAGTTCATGTTTAGTGTATAAACAAAAATAAAGTAATCTCAAGATTAAAACATTTCACCTTTCAGGTAATAACATCCATTGGCAATGCACATGTCCGGCCACGTTTGCCTCTGCTGCTGAATTAATAACTAAATGAACCATAGCGGTAAAGAAACCTGGTGGAATTATTGTTTCCATATTGCATATTGTTACCACAAATTGAGACTGCAGCCTCTCTAACTCACCGACATCAAGAACCTTTAAACATGATGCTTTATAAAATCTGCAAAATTCCATAAGATGCTATTCTCACATCTTTCGGCGACAGCCTCCGCAAAGCTATCAGTAAAAGTTCTTGTATCAATATATGGTAATCAGGACTCTTGTTACCAAAAGTTTTTGGTTGCTTTAAATTGACATTTCGAGGTACAGTTGATGCATAACCATCTGGATCATTTACTCGCTTCAGCACTTAACAAAAGATATTTCCTCTTTTGGCTTTAGAGAGTAGCAACCACGTGGCATATACACCATGTTTAAACCACATTGCTATGGATGAAGCGTTGTCTCTGAAGATTAAGATGCCTCAGTCAACTGCACAGGATGGCATCAGAGTGATGATATGAGTCTCCCTTTGTGAAAAAACCGCAATGCTTGGTGGCCAATCCTGCAGCAGCGCTCCACATTCATAAAAATCCCCATAGGGAGATCTATGGAATGACAACAAGAACATCAAGCTGTTGAGGTTGTCAAATGCCTGAAAAGTTTGTGACTGGTTCACCTAGCTAACTACCCATAATCCACGTCAATCTGCTCGATAATGCTCTGAAGCCCTGATTTATAACTTGGATGAAGCAGCTTAATTCCTAGCTCCTGTTTCAAACGAGTATTCAGAACTCGCTTCTCATCCCTTCTACTCACTTTCTGTATTGTTGACTCTGTTCGTTTAGGATATTTGTCATCTTGAAACCAGCCAGAAAACCTTTTCCCAACCAAGTCCTCTGCATACTTGAATACTTCTTCCCTTGGTGCTGGATCATCATCGACAACATTGTATATATTGCTGGGTAGTAAAGAGGAGTGCATTCATTAGCAATTGCAAACATTTTCTAGTATGCATAAGTAATGAAGAGGGGAAAGAAATCAGGGATCCAGAGTGGCTCTGCTTATTCCATGTGTTTTCATATAACTGTCATATATTCTACTGTCATAATAAAGTTGCTCCCATTATGTGTAATCTAGCAAAGTTTAGGGATAAGTGCATTGAAAGTCCTAAAACTTATCATCAAAGTGCAATTGAGTCCTAAAATTTTCAAAAAGTGCAATTAAGTTCTAAAACTTGTCACAAAGTACAATTAAGTCCTAAAACTTGTCAAGTTAGTCCAATTAAGTTCTTCTTTTGATTGCACTTTTTAAAAGTTTTAGGACTCAATTGCACTTTCGTAACAAGTTTTAGGACTCAATTGCATTTTTTGAAAGTTTTAGGATTTGATTGCACTTTCATGACAAGTTTTAGGACTTGATTGCACTTTTCGAAAGTTTTAGGACTCAATTGCACTTTCGTGACAAGTTTTCGGACTTCTAATGCGCTTATCCCCAAAGTTTATTAGTCAAGATATGATTTGGAGCGATCTGAGAGATAGAAGGTGAAAGAGGCAAGGATGGGACTATGATTGGCGCATTGTTGCTTTGACGGTAAAAACTTTTGATCCAGGGGAATGACGAGGCACATAATAACAATCCTGGAAACTCGTTCATTCAGAGTACAATGCTACGGCCATACAACCCGTTTAGGTTGCTCTCAGCTTGACAAAGCTACTGTTTTCATGTACTTTAGGGCAATTTCTGTGTTAGGCCGATTTTCCATCACTTGTGGGCCCATATGTTATGTCATTATTTTCGTTTTAATTCTGATTAGTCTTACTTTCTGAATTTATTAGGGTTTTGCTAGGGTTTAAATGGTACTTATTTACTTCATTCGACCATTGCCTTTTCTCAGATTACAGTAGCATTAAAATTTCTATCAATTGTGCTTCAAGTCTGTTGTGCCATTCTGTGTGCATTTGAGATTTATTTACGATTTTCCATTTCCACTGTGTCTAATTATTGCCCCAATGGCGCCTGCCCCGAACATAAAAAAAGCCCCAAAAAAGAGCACCCTAAGAAGGAAAACCACAGGGACAATGCAATATCTTAATTTTTCAAGTTTATGGACTCAAGATAGTGCATGATAATAATAAACTGTTAAAAAATACCTCGAAAATGGCACATAAATACCAGCTCTGAGTGCTTGACAAATGTCATCAACATGAACTCTGGATGTGTATTGCCTTGATATTCTCGTCTTCTGACTGTCCGACAAAGGTTTTTTGCTAATTATTGTATCAAGGGCACTGCAATGATGAATGTAAGGAGATCAGATTAAGTGAAAAAAGTAATGAATTCAGTAGCAAACAACAGTCACCAAGCGAAAGTTCAACTAAATCATCATCTATCACCAAGCATGTTTGGAAAAAAGGATCACTGGGGTTAAGTGCACTGCAAAATGAAAGACAATTTATAACATCTCAAATCTCGACATCCACTGATTTCTAGCGCGTGGAAAATTCTAAACCAATAAAGTTTGAAGTAGTTTTTTTTGTTTGGTTAAATATAAAGTTTGAAGTAGTTCTGTTGTCTAATAACTAAAAAAGCCATATTGCAGATCTGAGTATTGACTTAAGGCAACATCATGCCAAAAATATCCACAACCTTCTTCCAGGGCCATATATGCCTCCAAGTCGGAGCACCAAGGAAGAAATTCCAAGATTGTGGCCTACATCTAGCCATTCCTCCTCAGCACGTAACCTCAATCTAGCCAACTCAGTTGAAGGATTTACTGGATAACTGCCACACAATATCACATGACTTTAGCAATGAAGTAAATTCATCTTACAAGAATCCAAAGGTGGTCATTGATTACTCACTCTTCATTCACCCATTCACCACCACAATCTCCATACACACCTATTAATCAGAAACAAATTTAGACAACCAAATGACATCAAGAAGCATGACTAGACAGAAAATTGCACACAGAAAAAGGTCCCAGCTGAAGTAAAGACACAGTACTCTTTATGCAAGAGTTTAATCTTTCTAGATATAGCAGTGTAACGTCATTCTGCTTTTAAAAAATCAGAGCAGATCATTCCAAAATCCAATGTAAGATGTTGATACAGGCTAAATTCAGGAACTAGCATTTGGATTTGCCTGGATGCTTAAACATATAAAGTCCTTGTAGACTACTAAAAATGCCTCGAGCCTAACCAAGGTCATAAGTCAAGCTAACAGGTGCACCAGATGCATGGTCCCCAATTATAGGGACTAGGGAGTCCTATTCATCCTGCTCATTTTACTCTAACACTAGAGCAGCACGAGCTGGAAATAAACTTGGCAAGGCAAACTATGCTATAATTGAGTTCATTGAGTGACATTCATTCATCTTCTTTTAATTTCCACTGTCACTCTCCTCTCTCCATCACTTCAAATTGACCTCCAGCTAGGTTTTACAAGTCGAGCTACCTATTATCAGTGCTACAGCCATGTAAGCCTTAGAATCAAGTTGATGAATCCATGTTTCTTGGATTTTAGCAATAAATTGCAACCAACAAGTCTTCTAAGAAGGCCAAACCAATCAATAATTAGTTTTCATTTTCCTCTGTTTTTTGCCCTCTATATGCATGTGTGTGTATGTGTGAATAAGTGAGTGGTGGAGAAAATGTGCACTTGATTCAAACACAGCAGTTAGATAATGCACTGGGTACAGTCATGTGAGATCATCCAGCAATCCAGAAGAATGCCAGGACAAGAACATTGCACAGTGGCAGCAACACGTGGTCTGCATCATTGTAACAATGTCCCTCATTATTTTGTAGGAGATACCCATTCCAACATGTACATGTTATGCAGAGGATCCACGCATCAAAAAAATTACATACAGAGCAAAAAATAATGGCGCTTATATCCAAATTCTAAGATGATTCTCTTGATAACGTTGTATAAATAAGCACTGTTCCAATTCCAACTCTGATGTGGACGTACCTGTAGATGACAAATAACAGAGCCATTGCAGATTTCCATCTCTCAGCACGCGCTCGAGAAATTCTCGGTGTTGTAGCATCTATAAAACAAAAAAGTAGCCAAAACAGCCTAATTAGCCGACATCGGGATCCATTCATTCATTCACATTCTGGAAGGAAACTAACACGCGACCAGGAGAGCGCCTGTACGTACCGGATCGCCAACGCCCCTCACAGGGGGTATAGAAACAAGTAGGTGGGTATAATCTTTCAAAATGTCCAGAGTACTCAACCTGAAAAATAACGACACCCAGACGCAATTGACGTCGAAATCGACACTCGACTTCAAAGAGAACAACTGGGTCGATACAATGCACAATAAAAATGCCATAGCATAAGGGGACACACCAAAGTTCAAATTTTTATTACGTGATTCTCAGTCTCACGCTACCATGAAACAGCTTTGACTTCGAAGTTTGAGGAAGCTAAGGAACAAACACTCACTCTGGTACATTCGCGTCCAGAACGTGTGCATCCAAACCCTCCTCCTCAAGCTGCATCTTCTTCTCCAGGCTCCGGCAAGACCCCGAAACAGCCCTATAGCCCACAACAATTCACCGAACAGATTACACACATTCTGTGAAGCTAACCGAGCTTAAAGCTACTCACGAACTCCGCTCGAATTCGAACAGATCGCGGAATGAGAACTGTACCATCCCCGGTCCTTCATATGCAGCGCGAAGGACCGGCCGACGTAGCCGGCGCCGAGGATGAAGAGCCGCCGGCGAGAGAGCTCCCGATCGAGTCCGGCTTGGGATTTGCGAAGAAGAGGAAGCGGACGCGGGTTGGGCCTCGCGGCGGTCGACGACGCCCGTTCGGGATCGAATCGGAGCGGAGCGGCGGTGAATCGGAGCGACATTTTCCGGCGAGTTCGAGTGCGGGAAAGGGAGGGAGAGAATGGGAGTAACCCGTAAACAATAAACATCCCTTGCATATGTTCTCGTGGAAATTCAATTTCGCTATTTTTGTAATATAAACATAGGTTTATATCACAAAAAAAATCCAAATTGGTGTATCTAAATTAATATTTTGACCCTAGAAAATTCCAAACTACTACAGTTATAACAAATTTATTCCAAACTAATTTTTTAACCATTAAAAACTCTAAACTGGTACATTTGTGCTAAATTTATCCCCCGTTAATTTCCGTTAAATTGGATTAATACCGCGAAAAATCATAAATTGGTACACCTGTGACAAATGGAGGTAAAATCCCAAATTGGTACACCCGTCAATTGTCACGTGTCATCAAACTTAACAATTTGACGGTAAAATTTAACGAAAACTAATGGAATGTAAATTTGCCACATGTGTACCAATTTGTTATTTTTGGTGGTCAAAAAATTAGTATAGGGTAAATTTGTCACATGTGTACCAATGAGGATATAGAAAATTAAATTCTAAAGTATCTTTTTTGTCAATATTCATGGAATTTCGCTTTAAATCTTCTTGCTCTAGTTAGCCTTTGGAATCTATTGTATACATGAATCGTTTAAAAAACGTATGAGCCGACCTTTTTATTTATGCAAAACATCATAAATAAAAGGAGGAAGACAAAATGTTTTTTAAATTTTTGTTAGGCTGGAACTTTTATAATTGCACGTTGACGATATCCAGAGCTATTTTTTTAGTTTAGTTAAAGCTCAAGACCATGACTCAATTTCGATTGTTCAATAACTGCGAGATCAAAGCTAACAGCTGTAGAATAGCAAATTATGATAGCTTTGACATATTCTATTAGCTAACTAACTAAAATTTTAGATTCAATCATTTATTTATAATTCTAAATCCGGTGCTAAACGTTGTGTACGACGCTCATTTTAGAATCAAAAGTTTTTGCCTAATTACTTCAGTGCTAAATCGAAGAAACAGTTCACCAGAAAATGTTGTTATGTGGCTTTGTTAATTAAATTTTTTTATATGAGTTGACATTATATTTAAAAAATCTCATTCACGCGGAATTGCAAAACGACGCCACTTCATCCGACGTGGCACCATAGTCCCAAAACAACGTGTTTCATGGGTCAACAAAAACGACATCGCACCAATAGTCACAAAACGACGCCATTCTACGGCTCAATAAAAAACGATGCCCTTCCTTCCGTCGTGGTCAACCCTCGGACATTGTCGCACCTCTCCCTTTGAAAGTCCTCCCTCATCGTCGCCGTCTCTCGGTTGCCGTCACTCGCTCTCTTGAATCCCGCCGTGCAGTGCTTCTGTCCCACATCGCTGACTTTTGCCGTCAAAACTTCGTCGATCTCTATCGTCACCCACCTGCCATCGCGCCCTCGTTGGACCGAGGTGACTCTCGCCCCCTGTCCGACTTTCGCCGTCGAACTTCATCTAGTGGTTGTGGCCCTCGTTGTGAAGTTTCATCGTTGCCACTCATTTCCTCTGTTTCACCATGTTTCGTGGCCGAGAGGGTCAAAGTGGTTGAATCTCGGCTGAAACTTCATCGCTTGTATCCATCTTCGATGACAACGAATTCCTTGATCTCTTCTTATCAGTTTGACGATTGATGGTGATTAGGATTCCTCCTCATTAAGGCAATTTCTTCGAACTTCGTTTTTGCTGCTTATGAATAAAGCCGAGTCTATAAATTTCAGCTAGCTGGCGTAAAAACCGGCCATGATTTAGTATCCATTGATGATTCGAGCTTGCTATTATGATGTTGCGATCGGTGGGAGCGGTGCTTAGCGACAGTAAGCGATCGGTGTGAGCGGTGCTTAGCGACAGTAAGGTGAACACTTCATTCAGCCAACAGATTTAACCAACTTTCTCAAGTACGCTTCACAACTTCATGGAGACATTTCAACAAATAGCCTACGTGCAAAGAGATTGCTAGATCTAGTCATGAAATCGAAATTGCTTTCCATCTAAAATTAGTAATTAGAATAACAATGTCGTTACCAATCCTCAACTAACAATTTAGATGTTCAGTGATTTACGCATGGGTTTCATGGACAGAAATTGGTCTCACACTTATCCAGAACAAGGCAGGAAAGAGAGGAATGAAATTGCCTTGTCAAGGAGGGATTCTCGGTTGCGCTTACTGGTCGAGCTACACGAGTAGATGCAGCTTGTTGATACTGCTGGTTTGTGCTCTCACCAGCACGTGTTTGTGCAATTGATACAAGCACAATATTGCACCAACACTTGTTTGTGCTGGTGCGTGCTGGGCATTGAAATGATCATTTTTTAACAACGATTGACACTAAAGCGATCACTTTAAAAAAAATTGGCATTCAAACGATCATCATTTACAACTTTTAGATGACATTGTTTAGGGGTTACATGCTGACTAGGCACACAGGCGAGCCACGTAGGACTAAGAAATTAATAAAATATAGCCACATCGGATTTCCGGCAACCAAGATCGGAGTTGGCACTTAAATGATCCATTTTTTTTTATAAAAGTGGCACTTAAGTGATCCTAAAACAAATTTTGGCACTAAAATGAGTGCCGCACGCAACTTTTGGAACTTCTACTATGCTTCTCCCTTCTAAATCTTATATAAAGTGCAAATATGCTGTGATTTAAATTATATATATTAATATTAAAGATAATTGCATGATTGAGTAAAATTCTTTATTTTATTCTAAATCTTGTTTAACTTCTATATATTTAAAAGTAGGAAATATATGCTAATTTTTTTAAATAAGATGTAATTCATCATAATTTTATTTAATTGTTTAGTCATTGATTGAGCTGCTTCAATAATGGTCCTATAAATTATTACAATGCCTTTTCTTCTATTCATGCACCTTTGTGGAAAGAAACTATTCGAATAGATTAATTATATATTACAAACCAAACTTGCGATCGGTTGTTTCCCCTCCAAAATCAAAACCTACCAGACGTAAGTGGACTTTGAAACTTGGAAGGTACCTTCTGCACTTATTGAATGATGGAAATTATTCTTAAAAATAATACTTGCACGCCTCATACGATAGTGAATTCTCAATTTCTATAGTGGTTCTCCGGATTTTCACAACAATACGTGAGCAAATGATGTTCACCCTTTTGCTTAAAAATTATAGGGTTAATACCACACGAAAAACCCTAAACTGGTACACCTGTGATAATTTTACCAAAAACTAATTTTTTAACCATCAAAAACCTCAAACCGGTACACCTGTAACAATTTTATCCTATGTTAGTTTCCGTTAAATTTTGCTGTTAAATTGCTTTGTTAAATGACATCCGGTAGTTGACGGATATACCGATTTTGGGTTTTATCCTTCATTTAGCACAGGTATACCAGTTTGTGATTTTTTTTGCATTAATTCAATTTAACTGAAATTAACGAAGGGTAAATTTGTACATTTGTCACAGGTATATCAGTTTGGGATTTTTCGTGATATTAACCCAAAATTAATATCTACACAAATTATTCTACTTCTCCTCTTCTCTTAATGTATAACCATCTAGATTTATGCCTTCGAGCGATTCAAATCTTTACATATTTCCTCTACAAAATATGAGGCTGAGGCAATAATTGGCATCTAGGGGCAAAGTTCAATTCCTATATTGTTTTTCAAATTTCATTTTTCAATTTTCTTGTGTGATCGAACACTAACTCTTGAAATTCGTACAATATTTAGACATTCCTAGTTTGTCAGTTTTTACAAATTTTTTTTTGGTCGAAGTCAGGTTTTACATTTATATATGGAGCTGATGCATGGAAGGTAAAATGTGGAGAGGCCATTTTTTTTTTCTTGGATTGAAATAAATTAGGGAATGTAGAAAGGCCAACCACTAGGCTACACTTCCAAATTTTAACAATACAAAGTCAAACCAACCATTTTTCGTTTCTCTCGAAAGCAATTAACCCAGAATCATTAATTACCATTTACCAAGGTAAAAACCAAGGAGCAAAATCCCTTCTCAAATACACTGGTAAGCAGAAACCATATGTGTCCTTTTCTTCTGTGAGTGAGCAGCCAACAGCAAGGCAACCCATATGTTCATTACTGAAAACCACATGCATAAGATCATGAAATATCATGTAAGAAAAGAAGCCCCACACCCAACCAGGAAAAGGACAGAAAAACCCAGAAAACATCTCTCATGTCACCTCCTTCAATTCAATTTTGTTCAGTTGTCCACCACAAAAAGAAACCAAAAATGCTAAACTTGCACTCAACCTGCCAGGTTTCCCCCATTCTCCAAACTAGCTCATTGAATCCTGACAGTGAAAGTGACTATTCGATAAACACTGCCCGGGTAAACTTTTCTTTACACAAGCGGGTTTGAGATCAATATGCATGTCCATATTGATGTTCATTAACAACTCACATGGACACATATCTCGATCTCCAGCTCGCTTCTCTAAAAGAAATTTTGCACTGCTAGCGTGCTGAATGAGAGTTTTTTTTTCCTTTTTGTCTTCTTTTTGGTCTTCATACGAAAAAATATTAACTTCACACGATCAGGAGAAATTCTTGTCTTAACTCGGATCTAGTGGACCGAATGAATCACAACCGTCACATGAGTCCCACCCGTGAACCTTAAAAAATCAATCGCTATGGTTTCAATCGATCCATAAAACTGGGTCTAGACAAGAATTATTCCTTAACAAGATCCTTGATGCTGGAACAACAATCAAGGCAATTCTCTCTACGTACAAGCTTCTGGTGTTGAACAGCCAACAATACCATGTGTGCGACAAATTATACGGGTGCGAAGTTTAGCCGTTGATGTTTGGCCAATTGCATGGACGAGAAGCCAACCAACCCCCACCTAACAAAATTATTCAGTCCGGACAGTTGACTCCAACAATGCAATTTGACGTTGCTGATAACTCCAACTTGTTCTAAGGAAGTTCTGAGAAACCAAATATCTTCTTGTCCTTCCTCGTCATTCTCTCTCTCTCTCTCTCCTTCATTGCAGGAGGAGAAAGAAAAGCTCACTCCTTTCCCATCAAAACCATCTCCTGACTGAAGTTCCCGCCATCTTCTTCTGACACTCAAGATTGTCCGAAAAGAACAGAGAAAAGGCCAAAAGAGAAGAACCAGAACAAATGGAAGAGCAGGTTACGAATGTGATTGTAGGCGGAGTCGTTTCGTGGACGGTGGTGTTTCTCGTGATGAGGAAGAGCTTCCCGAAACGCTCGTTCGAGTTCTGCAACCGGACGGTGTCGACCCTTCACGCGACACTGGCTGTGATTTTAGCATCTCTCTCCGTCCAAGACTGGATGTCCCCGATCTCTCCTTTGGCCTCAAAACCATCTCCTCTCCAGGTAAACAGTCAGCTCGCTGCTTCTTCAGTGAATCACTTAGTTTTTTGAAGTTCTTGAAAGTGTTACTAGACAGGAACACTTCATTTGGATTCCTAAAGCTATATCATGTTGAATCGAGTTCAGTCGAGTCTGAACTTTTTCGATGGGTACAATCATCCTCGAATAATCTAAAGGTCCTGAAAACAGCCCAAGTGGCAGCCTTGGCGCTGCAAAAATAAAATGGAGCTGTGGTGACGGAAGGCTTGGTTACAGTTTATTTGAAAAAGTCCAGGACTAGAATCACATCAATTGAAAGAGGTTGAAGACTCAATTACATAATGTACATCTGATGTACTTTTCTATGAATTGGTGGTTTCTGAAGTTGCTGAATTGCCTTAGCGTTAATTAGTTCAGCAATGGTGGGTTCTGATCTTTTTTTTTTTTTGTGTGCGGGACAGGCGCGAGCATTGGCTGCGACTCTATCGTATCTAATCTACGACCTGTTGTGTTGCCTGTTCGACAAGAGAGTGAGTGTCGACAATGTGATTCACCATTTAGTCAGTATTACCGGAATCAGTGCAGGCCTGGTTTATCAGAAGGTACTGATCTTTGAATTTTCGTCTTAATTCTGTTTGCTATTTTGTTCCTATAGAGGTGTTTCTTCATTGTGCAGATTATAAGGGTAACAGACAGGGGTCATCTGTTTGATTCCTAGGAGAAATCGACACTGGAAGTATCTTTTCTGTCGTGATTATTCTGTTTGGCTTGAAGTCGCCCCAAAATAATACGACCTGAAGAAAATGGTTTTTAATGATTTGGACAAATCGTTCTCAAAATGATCCTAAATGAATGCAGCAGCTTTCTTATTTGAAGTTACAAGAAGAAAGTACGTTTACTATATACTGTAACAAAACCGGAAATCAGAGACAATAATTGTATCGGTAAAGAATCATTCGAAAAATGCAATCTTTCATTTGGATATGCTTCAGGAAGTACAGTGTTATCCCATTTCCGCTCGCCATCATAGGCCATGATGTGTTCTTGCTAGGGCTTAACTTAAGACTGGGTACTATGCCCTTGAGAACAAAATCTGTCCCCAGCTATAGGCTTGATAAAAGGGACATTAACTTCAATCTAGATTACATGAAAATGCTTTCTTTCTTAAATGTGCCATCATAGTTCTAGTATGCATGTAATGTCATTCTTGTGTTATGATGTGCTAGTGTGGATCAGAGCTGGTTGCTGCACTGTGGATAACAGAGCTGTCCAGTCCATTTCTCCACATGAGAGAGCTTCTAAAGGAGCTTGGTTATAGGGACACCGACCTCAATTTGGCTGCCGACGTAAGTCTTTTTCATTCTCTAGACTCACAACATCAAACTGTTTCGCATTGCAAAAGAAGCAAATATTTACAGGCTTTAACTTGAAATTGAGGAACTGATGAAGATGATTAAATGTGCCTTGTGGTCAAACAGATTGCCTTTGCCATCATTTTCTCGATAGCGAGGATGGTGGGCGGGCCTTACCTCACCTTCAAGACCCTATCTGCTGACAACCCTTTCGTAATTAAGGTTCTTGCCAAAATTAAGATATCCACAATTATGGTTGCACTGGCACCCAACACTTTTCTCTTCTTATGTTCATGGATTCTTCTGGTCTTGGGCTTATATATTAAACATTTTGAGGTTTGTGTGTATGGCTTCTCAGGTTATGGCAGTGGCGTTGCAGCTGGTCAGTGCTTTCTGGTTTTATAAAATTGCCAGAATGGTGAAGTACAAGCTCACGAAGAGAACCACTTCTAAAAAGACTGCTTAAACCCTGTATAGTGCAAGGACAAACTGCAATGTGAGAGGTAGGATAGTGTAAAAATTTTTGAGGACCAAAGTTCGTGGATTCTTTCATGAATTGAAGGGTGGTAAAAAATTTGTCTGGCACATGTATCATCAATTGGATCAGGACAATTCTTTGGTGATCACATTGGATAAACTGTGTCTCTTGGTGGATGAACTAAATTCCTTAATTGTCTTCAATGCCTGAATTGAACGTTGAAGAGGATCCACATGCATTTTAACTATTATAAAAAAAATCTCATGACGGTAGAAATTTTGATATCTGCATCACTAAAGCTTTTCATTCATAAAGCTGGCATTACAAGTACCAACATCCACAATCTGCGTTCAACTTTTCTGGAAAATATAAATCACCATCCCAAGCAGGATCCACCACAATAGGTAGACTATGCTTTCTATTTGACTAATTAACCTGATGACAATTCTTCCTAACTTCGCCGTTAAACCCAATGAGAGGACTGATGTTACCCATCTTGATCATGGACCTGGCAAATTGCTGGAAGAAGAGGCTCTCATCTTCAGCATAGGCTTTGACCAGCTTCATAGTTGTCCCCACTTTTCCGGTTAAGAGCACTTCATCCGAAGTGAGAAGGCCTTTGCCCCACAATATGAGCTTAAAGTAGGTGTTGTCGAACTTGACTGGGGAAGCAAAGTCCAAGGGTGAGATGTTGCTGTCGCCGCCCGACCGAGGGCAAACTGATTTCAGATCCTGGTAGTAGTTCCTCTCGAGAGTCGCATCGGGTTGGTTGTTCCCGTTCTGGTTGTACAGCCTCTGCTTGAAGCTTGAACACCTCGCCACCCCAATTGTGTGCCCTCCTGCAAATACCGACAATATAATTCACAATATGTTACATTGACAGCACTTAATTGAAAATGAAAGATTCAGTAACAGAAATCAGTTTTCATGTGTTTACCTTGATGTAATCAACATTAATTTAGAAAATTGGCGACAGAGAGAGCTTACTTAATGAATTTTCAGTGATGAATAATCGGTGGTACCTGAGAGAGCGACGAGATCGGCTTCATTTAGGCCTTGGCGCCGGAAGAGCATGATGAGATTTTGGATTGTGGAGTTTGGAGGGGGAATGTTGGTATTAGAGCCCGTAAGACTTGCTGTTCTAGAGTCCCTTCTTCCAAGAGGAAGCACCCAATTTGGTCCACCGCTCTGTCAAAGCTCAAAAAAAAAAAAATTGTTAGCCAATCTAAGAAAGTAAAACTATAGAAGAAATGTCGCTTCCTGATATTGTTCAGATGGTCTTAGCGGTGTTACATGTTTGAATATGGACACCTTTTGTAAGTTTAAACTGGTGGGAGTTTAAGTAGAAGGAAATCGCAGTTTTGATCTTGACATTTAAGCATTTAACCAGAGTGAGGAATACAAAAGGAGTATCTATTGTACCAGAACAGTAGATCCTCGGGCCGAAAGGGCAACAATATCTGCACAAGACACAACGCCAGGGCATGCTTCTTCCAACTTGGCCTTAATTTCATCAATGACTTCAAACCCCCTGAGGGAATTTGCATTAGGTAGCGACCTCTTCTCGCTGGCTATGGTTGCACTATCATCCAGCAGAACCGATGCATCACATCCCTACAACAAATAGCCTGTTAAGCAATGGCTACTCCTACATTGCAGGCACTAAGCAGCTCTAACGTATCCAGCCCGACATTTCTTTAGGTAACGTAGGCGTATGCTTTAGCCTGTCTGACTTACACTGGAAGAGCGAAAACACCTACTATTGTTAGTGTTCTTATGTGTTAAGAAAGTTCTTGTTGTTTTGCATCAATACGCTTTCTTGCTGTTGTCACTATATCTTAGCGAGTACTGAAGCAATCATAAAACCTGTCGCCAAACTTGTGAACCTAGTAAAGTATGCCAAGAAATCGAACCTGCACGAAGCAGTCGTGGAAATGAAGCCGGAGCAGGGAAGCGGCCATCCTCGGTTCCCTTTCGATGGCTTGCTCCAGCACCGAAACAACAATGTCATTCACTTGAGGGCACGAGTAAAGATAGTATTCCGGTAACAGGCCATGACCCCCGCCACTTCCGCTGGACCCTCCACCCCAACCGAAGCCGAGGCCCGGGTGAGCCATGGACAGTGTGGACAACAGGAAAGCCGAGGCCACTACAGCGAGGACGACTTTGGAGAGAGCCACCATGATTGTGAATGAGAGCAAGGAGTCTGAGGGTGTGGTCGGATAAGAAAGTGTCCTGTAGGTCGATGTTACTTATAGGAAGGGAAGTAAAGCCCATCACAATCAACCACTCTCGGTACCAACTCCTCTCGCAGTTTCCTAATGTGGATTGCAATGACCATGTCAACTAGTCGTCTGTCTCACACTATGGCTTATGCTTGGAGAGAAATGAGGCTAGACAGTGTTTCTGGTATTACCTGCTCCAAAGATCACCTCCATGTGGCTCGCCTTTCTAATTGCCATTTCTTTCTGTTTCTTTCTTCTTTTGCATTTTTGCTCTTACATCATGCTTGGTACACATGAATTGGCAACTCCAGCTTAATTCTTAATCCTGCGTGTGGTGCGAGGCGCTAATTGAACCGCAATGAAAGTCTAGCCGATGTTGAGAATGTAGTGAGTAGACTCTGTTCAACTTGTAGCCTTACTTTTTGTTGTTTCATACGTAAGGCTTTTCATGTTTCTTTGGCCAAGGACGACTTTAGGATCGAACTTCTTCAAATGACCATTCAAGAACTGGGCTAGATCATTGTTTGGCATGCTGAAGAGATAATCAACTTAAGAAACCAATCATTTGGCCAAAAATAAAAATAACGAAAGCCTTAAAAAATCAATCCGATCTAAGAAAACTATTTTGTTGTTACCAAAAGGCTATTGAAAATCAAATTATTTTATCCTTAACATTTACCAATAATACATTAACCATGCTGCGCTCGACTATTACATGCTTTGGAGTACATGATCATATCGATATTGAATGAAAAGTGATTTGGTGCTACAGACGTTGGATTAAAGGGAAAAATGCCAGAAAAGTTATTCACAGAATTTGGACTTCATTTGTTTCACTGAAAATCAGCAATTGGTAGATTTTTCCTATTTACAACCATTTCCTATTGATTTACTTTCCATTCCATACTTCACCGAACCATAGATGTGTACTGAGTGACTACTCCAGCAAGCCTACTTAAACATTGAAAGAGGAATGCCCTTTCCAATTTTCATAACGAAATCAAAGTTTGAAAAGGGTTATTTTCTCTAGCATTGTTAATCAAAGTTTCTTCAAGAAAAATGTTAATGCAGCAACAGATGGAATTCCTTAGATATGACGGAAGAAGAAGAATACAATATAGACGCACAAAAAAGAATTGAAAATATTTACATCAGGTCAGCTGTATACAAAGTCCACTGGGGGACTCCTGCTCTTATCGACCACCTAATGCTGCGCAACATTCTCTAGAAGAAAATTGGTATCTCTCTCTCTCTCTCTCTCTCTCTCTCTCATGATGCATTTCATCAGCAGAGAGAGTGCAGGCAGAGGGAAAAGGAATGGGAGATGTCCAATGTACTAGGGGCAAGGCTAGGATATGCGTAGCTGCCTCATTGGTGTGAGCATCCTCGCAAAGCGCAGCGGAACGTGTGCCTTTACCAATGTCCCGTTCTCCATATATTCCTGTATTTTTAAGGCAAGGAAGGAGCATCATGAATAAACAACGAAATCTAAGGGTCTCTTGACAAGATTATCAGGTAACAAACTAGAAGAAGTTGAAGCAGGCAACACTCACGGTCTTCTCCACCATTCCTACTTGATGGATGGTACTGAGGAGTTCGCCTTTGTCAAATGGGACCAATGCTTCCACCCAAACCATTGAATCCTGAGAAAAGGAGTGGAGGAAAGAAATATTTATTTATCTATCATGAATGCATACAACAGTCAGAATGATTAAATCGCAGATAAAGGTTTTGACCCGAGACCTTCACTTTGTCCTGAACTGCGTCACAGAATTCTTCTAGGCCCTCGCCAGTCAATGCGGATATGTAGACAACATCTTCCCTCCTCTCCGCTTCAAGCTTGATCTTTTGAGGATCTTTAGCTTTATCAACCTGTAATAAACGATATGAGGGTCAAGGTTTTCATGACTGATTCACAAACAATCATGGCTTGCCAGGTAGAATTCAATTTAATCAGATATGTATTGCTCAAGATAGAAAAAACTCATTCGGATTTTCTTTACTTATATCAGATTTTTTTTGTGACTGATGAACCAAACAGCAAGTGAACAGAGTCCATTCACAGGTTTTTCTCCCTCTCTCTTGAGACCCATTTTGTGTCATCAATTCTTTGGTCATGTGATGTGTCCATCTGAAAATAAATGTTATGTCACTCTCCTACTTAGCAAGATATTGTATGTACCTTGTTCCAGACCATCAACTTTGGAATAGAAGACACGTCCAACTCTGATAAAACATTGTCCACAGCTTCTATCTGTTGCTCAGCTAGAGGATGGCTGAGTATAAGAGCAAATGCAAGTAAATGAAGTTGGCTCCCAGATAGCAATTATCTTTAAGAGTATGCCAAGTATACCTGATGTCCACTACATGCACCAATAGTGAGGATTCAGATATCTCCTCTAGTGTTGCTCTGAAAGCAGCAACCTGTAAAATGTAGTCAGTTGTAGATAAATTGCAATTCATCACCTAAAACAATAGTGAAGACCAATACCAGCATATTCATTATGATGACGCGATAAATAAACAATTTTTTGCTTCTTATGATGACAACTTTCACTAAGTTATGAAAATGGATGATAAACCATCTCACCAGCATAGTAGGTAATTTTTGGATGAAACCAACAGTATCTGTCAGTAGAAACTCCTTCCCATTTTTTATCTGGATGGTAAGCATGAAACCAAATTGTTAATATACTGTCAATGAGATCATCAGACAATTGATTTATAATTGCACAAAACTCATCCAAAGATAAACATTTTACACCCTGGTAACAAATGACTTTCCTCTAAAACTGACCTGGACCCTTCTAGTAGTTGGGTCTAGGGTTGCAAACAAGCGATCTTCAGCAAGGACATTTGCCCCTGTCAACCGGTTCAGCAAT